GGGGACAGGGATGGGGACAGGATGGGAACGGGAATGGGGACAGGATGGGAATGGGGACAGGGATGGGGACAGGATGGGGACAGGGATGGGGACAGGATGGGGACAGGGATGGGGACAGGATGGGGACAGGGATGGGGATAAGATGGGAAGGGGGATGGGAACAGAGATGGGGACAGGATGGTGGTGGGGATGGGGACAGGGATGGGAATGGGGATGGGGACAGGGATGGGGACAGGATGGTGGTAATAATGGGGACAGGGTAGGGACAGGAACAGGCTGATGGTATTAACGAGGACAAGATGGTGGTAACAATGGGGACAGGATGGTGGTAGGGACCGAAACAGACTGGTGGTATTAATGGGGACAGGGTGGTGGCATTAATGGGGAAAGGGTGGTGGAAGGCATGGGGACAGGATGGTAGCAGGGACAGGGACAGGCTGATGGTATTAATGGGGACAGGGATGGGGACAGGGTGGTGGCATTAATAGGGACAAGGTGGTGGTGGGACAAGAACAGACCGGTGTCATTAATGGGGACAGGGTGGTGGCATTAATGGGGATAGGGATGGGGACAGGGTGGTGGTATTAAGGGTGATGGCAGGGACAGAAACAGGCTGATGGTGGGCATGGAGACAGACTGGCCATGGGGACAGACTGGCTGTAGGAATGGAAGCAGGTTGGCAGCAGAGATGGGGACAAGCCTGGGACAGGGACAGGCTGCTGGTGGTGGCGATGAGGCCTTTGCTGGGGCTGTTGTGGTGCTCTGCTCCCCCCCAGTGCTGGCAGGGCTGTTCTGCCATCTAGGGATGGGGACAGGGTGGTGGTATTAGGGGTGGTGGCAGGGACAGAAACAGGCTGATGGTGGGCATGGAGACAGACTGGCCATGGGGACAGACTGGCTGTAGGAATGGAAGCAGGTTGGCAGCAGAGATGGGGACAAGCCTGGGACAGGGACAGGCTGCTGGTGGTGGCGATGAGGCCTTTGCTGGGGCTGTTGTGGTGCTCTGCTCCCCCCCAGTGCTGGCAGGGCTGTTCTGCCATCATTCCAGCCTCTCTCTCAGGGTGCTGGAGCTCATCCCAGCCCACACCGGGGCAGCCAGGCCCCCCTGTCCCCCCCACTGCTGCTCCCCTCCCCTCCACCAAGGTGACCGAGGGTCTCGGGGGAGCAGCTGACGGCGCTTGGCCCCAACAGCAAATGGGATGTGAGTGGCCATCACTGCCGGGCCTGACAGACCAAATTGATGCCGAAGGCACCGAGAGCCTTCCCGGTCCCTGTGCAGCTGCCTCCAGCCCTTCCCTCAGCGCTGCCCGGCTCCGTGCGCTCACGGGGGGACACAGGCAGCCCCACACGGCTGCAGAGGGGCACACGAGGGGCTGGAGAGCGGCTAAACCATGAAATAACGCTGTGGGGACCGTGATGAGGATGAGGAGGAGGAGGAGGAGGGGATGTGCAGAGCCGGCGGTGCGTGTGACAGTGAAAAACAACCAGCTCGGGTAACCTGGCTGGCAGCAGAGCCCCCCACGCCACCGAGCCAGGCAGGGCCACGGGTTTTGGTGGGAGGGGGCTGCACTGGGACCCCCCCCGTGGACTCACAACGCGTATCCAGGAGGTTCAGGGCCGCGGGCGTGCGGCTGCACCCCGACGGCACAGCAGGAGCATTAATATTTAACGCGAGGTGTGCGGGACCTGCCCTGAATGCCGACAGCGCTGCCGGGGCGCAGGGGGGTGACCTTGGCTCCCCTCGGCGCTGCCGTGGCCCAAGCCCCCCTGGCCCTGCTCACCCCCGCAGGCTCCGAGCCCCCCGGCCCGCCGGGGCTCGGCGGGGGCTGCGGGCAGCGAGGGTCCCCCCGCACTCGCGGTGCCGCAATCGATCGCCCTGGCTGCATCGCAGCCGCTGCCCTGCTCTGCAATTCCCTTTCATCCCCCAGCAGCTCCTGCCGAGGGACTGGAGGGGTTGGGGGGGTGCCAGTCTGGCCCCGAGCCCGCTGGGGATGGGGGGTGTTTGTTGTGTCCGTGCCCAGCCCCTGGATCTGTCCCGCAGCCCCCAGGAGCACAGAGAGCGCTGCCAGTGTGTGTCCCCCTCTGCTGCCACTGCCTGCCCGTCCCCGTCCCTTCCCTGTCCCTTCCCTGTCCCTCCCCTGTCCCTCCAGCGATTCCCATCACAGCCTGTCCCAATGGAGAACACCACACCCCCGCACGGAGAGGGGATTGGAAAGGGAAACTGAGGCAGGGGAGGAAGGGCACAGGCACCTGCGGCACAGCCGGGGACCGGCCTTGGCTCCCAGCCCTGGCTGAGATGGAAATTCAGCGCAGAGCTCAGAAACCTCCAGAAATCCTTCCCGGTGGCGTGGGGGGGGGGCTCGGCAGGATGCGCTGCTGTGCGTGCTCCCCCCGGGCTGCACCCCCAGCCCCTCGCTGAGGGCGCAGGAGGATTTGGGGGGCTCCCAGCTGAGGGGTCACAGTGGGGTGTGAGGGGTCCCAGGCCGGAGACGGAGCAGAGTTGGGGTGCAGACACCACCCCCCTGCCAAAACCGCAGCTCCCTCAGCTGGGGGTGCCCCTCTCCCGCCCCCCCTCGTTATCTCGCCATCCCGGTCCTGCCCCCCCCTCTCCGGCTGGAGAAGGCGCCCGGCTTTGAAGCTGCGTTGAAATATAGATAAGGGCGAAGGCAGAGCTGGGAAAGAGCCGGGGGGAGCGGGGGGCTGGCCGGGCTGGGGGTGCAGGGATGGATGCTGCAGCTCTGCACCACACCGTGCCCCCGCGATGGGCTGAAGGACCCCAAATCCCCTCCCAAATCCCCTCCCCACGGACGAGGCGGGGCTGCGTGCCTTGCCCAGGGTGCAGCACAACCAGAGCAGATTTAGGGGCTCAGCCTAAATCGGGGGGGGGGGGTCCCAGGGATGGATCAGATGGAGCCCCTGGCCCGGCAGAGGGTGGGGAGGTCGCTGGGCTCCCCCCCTGGCGCTGCTCCATCTCTGCAGGGAAACCTTGCACTGAGACCCGCCCAGCCACGGAGGAGGGGGCGTGGGGGGCTCACCCCTCTCTGGTGGGGCTCACGGGACCCCCTTTCATTCCCGACGGGAATCATTCCCAAGCAGGAAGCGGCACGGAGCCGTTCTGCAGGGGGGGCGATGCCGGGAGGAGCCCCCAGCAATCACCGGAGCCATTCCCTGCTCCTGCCTCAACTTCCCACCACAGCACAGCCCCCTCCCCACGCTCCCCCCAGCCTCTCCAGCTGCTGCCTCCGCTCACCGCCCCCTCCCCACTCCCCCTGCTCGCTCCTGCCGGGATCCAGGTCATCCAGAGCAGCCGAGCACCTGGCAGCTCGGGCCGACAGTGATTGACGAGGCCGGGGCTGCTGGAGCAGCTGGCAGGGCAGGAGGGCACGGCGGGCACGCCGGGGGTGAGGGATGGGGGCGCGGGGGGGTGAGGGACAGGCCTGGGCTCCCGGGTGAGGGCTGGCATCTGGCTCTGCCCGCTGCTGGCCGTCCCAGGCACTGGGGGAACCGCGGGAAGGGGCTGGGGTGGTCCCGGCCCAGCTGGGGCTGGCACGAGGATGAGGAGGGAGGGGTAGGTAGAGGGTGAGGAGGGTGCAGGAAGGAGGATGAGGAGGGAGGGACTGTAGGTAGAGGGTGAGGAGGGTGCAGGAAGGAGGATGAGGAGGGAGGGGTAGGTAGAGGGTGAGGAAGGTGCAGGAAGGAGGATGAGGAGGGGACTGTAGGTAGAGGGTGAGGAGGGTGCAGGAAGGAGGATGAGGAGGGTTCAGGAAAGAGGATGAGGAGGGGGCTGTAGACAGGAGGATGAGGAGGGTTTAGGCGGGAGAATGAGGAGGGAGGAATAGGCAGGAGGATGAGGAGGGTGCAGGAAGGAAGATGAGGCAGGCAGAGGGATGAGGAGGGTTCGGGTGGGAGGATGAGGAGGGGGCTGTAGGTAGGAGGATGAGGAGGGAGGAGTGGGGGGAGGATGGGGAGGGTGCAGGCAGAGGGATGAAGAAGGGGTTGTAGGTAGGAGGATGAGGAGGGTGCAGGAAGGAGGATGAGGATGGGGCTGTAGGTAAGAGTATGAGGAGGGGGCTGTAGACAGGAGGATGAGGAGGGGGCTGTAGGTAGAGGATGAGGAGTGTGCAGGAAGGAGAATAAGGAGGGAGGAGTAGGTATGGGGATGAGGAGGGTGCAGGCAGAGGGATGAGGAGGGTGCAGGAAGGAGGATGAGGATGGGGCTGTAGATAAGAGTATGAGGAGGGAGCTGTAGACAGGAGGATGAGGAGGGGGCTGTAGGTAGAGGATGAGGAGTGTGCAGGAAGGAGAATAAGGAGGGAGGAGTAGGTATGGGGATGAGGAGGGTGCAGGCAGAGGGAGGAGGATGATTCAGGTGGGAGAATGAGGAGGGCGCAGGCAGAGGGATGAAGAAGGGGCTGTAGGTAGGAGGATGAGGAGGGGGCTGGAGGTAGAGGGATGAGGAGGATTCAGGTGGGAGGATGAGGAGGGTGCAGGCAGAGGGAGGAGGATGATTCAGGTGGGAGAATGAGGAGGGCGCAGGCAGAGGGATGAAGAAGGGGCTGTAGGTAGGAGGATGAGGAGGGTGCATGCAGGAGGATGAGGAGGGGGCTGTAGGTAGAGGGATGAGGAGGATTCAGGTGGGAGGATGAGGAGGGTTTAGGTGGGAGAATGAGGAGGGATGAGTAGGCAGGAGGATGAGGAGGCTGCAGGAAGGAGGATGAGGAGGGTTCAGGCTGGAGGATGAGGAGTGGGCTGCAGATATGAAGATGAGGAGGATGCACGCAGGAGGATGAGGAGGCTGCAGGAAGGAGGATGAGGAGGGGGCTGTAGACAGGAAGATGAGGACGGTTCAGGCGAGAGGATGAGGAGGGGCTGTAGATATGAGGATGAGGAGGGTGCATACAGGAAGATGAGGAGGGTGCATGCATGAGGATGAGGAGGGTGCGGCACGGGGCCGAGGAAGGGCACAGGCACAGCTCACACGCCCTGCCCTCTCTCCCCAGACGGTGTGCGCTGGCGGTCACATCCCCAAGACCTTGGGCTACCTGGAGATGGGCACCTCCGGCCTCCTCAAGGACGTGCCCTACGGCACCCTGAAGCCCCCGGCGCTCGACCCCGGGCGGCTGATCCCGGCAGAGCCCCCCAGGGGCGCGGGGGCACCGGCGGGCACCGGCCGCAGCCCCTGGGACTGGCAGAAGAACCAGACGGCCGGGGAGCTGCTGAGCCCCCGCTCCCACCGCAAGCCCACCCTCAAATCCAGCCGCACCAAGAAGATTTTCGGTTGGGGAGACTTCTACTTCAACATCAAAACGCTCAAATTCAGCCTCCTGGTGACGGGCAAGATCGTCGACCACATCAACGGCACCTTCAGCGTCTACTTCCGACACAACTCCTCCAGCCTGGGCAACGTCTCCGTCAGCATCGTGCCCCCTTCCAAGGCGGTGGGCTTCGAGGTGCTGGTGCCAGCGCTGCCACGACCACCGCCCCCTCCCCAGCAGAGCACCCTGCCCGAGGGCCGCCCGGCCAAGGCGCTCAATTGCCACGTGGAGTACGAGAAGACGAACCGGGCGCGGAAGAACAAGCCGTGCCTCTACGACCCGTCCAAGGTGTGCTTCACGGAGCACACGCAGAGCCACGCGGCCTGGCTGTGCGCCAAGCCCTTCAAGGTCATCTGCATCTTCATCTCCTTCCTCAGCATCGACTACAAGCTGGTGCAGAAGGTCTGTCCCGACTACAACTTCCAGCACGACAATCCCTACTTCGGCTGACGGGGAAGGGGGTGGGTGGGGGACAAGGGGGGGTTTTGGTGGCACTCGGGGTCTCCTGTCACCCCCGCAGCAGCCTCCTCTTCCTCACTCTGTGCTGGGGGTCCTGGACCCCACCCAATGCCATCCCATCACTGGGATTGAGTTGGCTCTGGGGGTTGCAGGTTTGCCCCCCCCACCCAAAATGACATCCCATCCCTGCAGCACAAGGGGGTACAGCCGGTTCTGGGGGTCCCACCCACCCAGTTCTGGGGGTCCCACGCACCCACTGAGACCCCAACACTGAGGAGCCCATACTGGGGTAGAGCTGGTGCTGGGGGTCCTGGACCCCCACACAGAGACCCATCATTGGGGTACACCTGGTCTGGGGGACCCCCACTGAGACCATCATTGGGGTACACCTGGTCTGGGGGTCCTCTCCACCCACTGAGACCATCATTGGGGTACACCTGGTCTGGGGGACCCCCACTGAGACCCATCATTGGGGTACACCTGTTTTTGGGGTCCCCTCCACCCCCTGAGACCCATCATTGGGGTACATCTGTTCTGGGGGTCCCCTCCATTTCCTGAGACCATCCTTGGGGTACACCTGTTTTTGGGGTCCCCTCCAGCCCCTGAGACCCATCATTGGGGTACACCTATTTTGGGGGTCCCCTTCACCCCCACTGAGACCCCACCCCCCGGGTTTCACCTGTTCGGGGGGTCCCCTTCACCCCCTGAGACCCCTCCTCAGAGTACTTCTGTTTTTGGGGGACCCCTTCACGCCCTGAGACCCCATAACTGGGGTACACCTGTTCCTGGGGGTCTCCCATTGAGACCCCACCTGTTCGGGGGGTCCCCTTCACCCCCTGAGACCCCTCCTCAGAGTACTTCTGTTTTTGGGGGACCCCTTCACGCCCTGAGACCCCATAACTGGGGTACACCTGTTCCTGGGGGTCTTCCTCTCCACCCACTGAGACCATCATTGGGGTACACCTGGTCTGGGGGACCCCCACTGAGACCCATCATTGGGGTACACCTATTTTGGGGGTCCCCTTCACCCCCACTGAGACCCCACCCCCCGGGTTTCACCTGTTCGGGGGGTCCCCTTCACCCCCTGAGACCCCTCCTCAGAGTACTTCTGTTTTTGGGGGACCCCTTCACGCCCTGAGACCCCATAACTGGGGTACACCTGTTCCTGGGGGTCTCCCATTGAGACCCCACCTGTTCGGGGGGTCCCCTTCACCTCCTGAGACCCCTCCCCGGGGTTCACCTGTTCTGGGGGTCCCCCATTGAGACCCCACCTGTTTTGGGGGTCCCCTCCACCCCCTGAGACCCCTCCCCGGGGTTCACCTGTTCTGGGGGTCCCCCATTGAGACCCCACCTGTTTTGGGGGTCCCCTCCACCCCCTGAGACCTCTCCCTGGAGTACTCCTGTTTTTGGGGGTCCCAGCCCCCTCCCCCACTGACCCCCCCCTCCTTGCATCCTGTGCTGGCAATCCCGGACCCCCTCCCCACCCACTGAGACCCCCCAGACCCCCCCGGGATGGGGGTGCAAGGACTCCAAAATCAGGGATAGGGAACCCCAAAATTAGGGATGGGGGGGTGCAGGGACGTGGGACCCCAAAATTAGGGATGGGGGACCCCAAAATTCGGGATGGGGGTGCAGGAAGGGGGAATTAAAATTAGGGATGGGGGGCGCAAGGACTCCAAAATTAGGGATGGGGAACCCCAAAATTAGGGATGGGGAGTGCAGGGATGTGGAACCCTAAAATTAGGGATGGGGAGTGCAGGGATAGGGGACCAAAATTAAGGATGGGGGTGCAAGGACCCCAAAATTAGGGACCCTAAAATGAGGGATAGGGGTGCAGGGATGGGGAGTGTAGGGATGGGGGACCCCAAAATTTGGGACGGGGGTGCAGGGACCGGGCTGACCCCGCTCGAGGGGGGGTGGGGCAGGCTCAGACCGCCACTTTCCCGTCGGCCCCGGTGGCTCCGCCCTCCCGGCAGCGCGCGCGGGGGGCGGGGCCAAGCGGGGCCGGCACCGGGAGCGGCACCGGGAGCGGGACCGGGACAGGCACCGGGACCCACGTGCAGCGCACACCGAGATGTGGCCGCTCCGCCTGGGCAGGGTGAGCCTCGGGGCTGGGGGGGCCCGGTGCCCGCCGGGGGGGTCCCCGGTTCCCGGTGAGGGGCTCCGGTTCCCCGTAAGGGTTCCCGGTGAGGATCCCCGGTAAGCGTCCCCGGTTCCCGGTAAGGGTTCCGGGTAAAGATCCCCCGTTCCCGGTAAGAGTTCCCGGTAGGGATCCCCGGTTCCCGGCAAGGACCCCCCGGTTCCCGGTTCGGATCCCCGGTTCCGATCCCTGGTTCCCGTTTCGGATCCCGGTTCCCGGTAAAGATCCTCCGTTCGGATCCTGGTTCCGATCCCCGGTTCCCAGTTCGGATCCCGGTTCCCGGTTCAGATCCCCGTTTCAGATCCCCGGTTCCCTGTTCGGATCCCCGGTTCCCAATTCGGATCCCCGGTTCCCGGTTCCGATCCCCGGTTCGGATCCCGGTTCCCGGTTCGGATCCCCGGTTCGGGTCCCGGTTCCCTCCCCCCGGTGCTCGCTGGGTGCTGCCTCCCCGGTGTCCCGGTGCTCACAGCGGTCCCGGTGCCCGGGGGGGGGTCAGTCCCGGTACGTGGCAGAGCAACACCCCCCGGGGGTCCCGGTGACCGGAGGGGGGGTCCGGAACCCAGAGGGGTCCCGATCCCCCCGGGGGTTTCAGTGCTCGGGGGGTCCCGGTGCTGCAGCCCCGGTGCCGCAGCGATCCCGGTGTGGGGCGGGGGTCCCGGTCCCCGGTGTGGGGCGGGGGTCCCGGTCCCCGGTATGGGGCGGGGGGGTGTCCCGGTCCCCCCGTTCTCCCCCTCACCCATCCTCCCTTATCCCTGGGGGTCTCCACTCCATCCCCCTCCTCTTCCTCACCACCGGGACCCCCATCCCGGTACCGTGCCCCCCCTCTCCGGTTCCCCCACCCCACCCCGCGGACTTTGTGTCCGTCCCAAAGTCCCCGGGGCCGGGACCGGCCCCGCCACCGGCCTTGGCCCCTGCCCGGTGCCCGCGGCCCCGGGTGATGCAATGGGGCGGCCGCGGTTACATCACCCGGCACCGGGGGGCACCGGGGGGCTCCGGGGGCACCCCCGGTGCTGCAGGGGCGGGATCCCCCCCGCAGCCACCGAGTACAACGGGGGGGGGGGGGGAATCCCCTCCCTGGGGGGCTCCCCGTGTGCCTTGTGGGGTTTTGGGGGGTCCTTGTGGGCTTTGTGAGGAGTTTGAGGGGGCCCCGTGTGCCCTGTGGGGTCCTTGGAGGTCCCCATGTGCTTTATGGGACCCTTGGGGGATCCCCAAGTAGTTTGGGGGGTCCTTGAGGGGATCCCAAAGTAGTTTGGGGGGGTCCTTGTGTACTTTGTGAGGACTTTGAGGGGGTCTTCCTGTATCCTGTGGGGTCCTTAGAGGTCCCCATGTGGCTTGTGGGGTCCCCATGTACTTTGGGGGGACCATGGAGGAGTCCCCATATGCCCTGTGGGCTTCTTGGGGTCCCCATGTGTCCTGTGTGCCCCTTGTGCCCCATGTGCCCCTTGGGGTCCCGTGTGCCCCTTGGGGTCCTCATGTGTCCCTTGGGGTCCCCATGCACCCTATGTGGAGCCTGGGGGGGGTCCCCATGTGCCCCGTGTGCCCCTTGGCGTCCCCGTGTGCCCTCTGTGTCCCTTGGGGTCCCCATGCACCCTGTGTGGAGCTGGGGGGGTCCCCATGAGCCCCGTGTGCCCCTTGGGGTCCCGGTGTACCCCTTGAGGTCCCGTGTGCCCGTGGGGTCCCTGTGTGCCCCTTGGGGTGCCCCGTGTGCCCCTTGGGGTGCCCCTTGTGCCCCGTGTGCCCCTTGGGGTGCCCCTTGTGCCCCTTGGGGTCCCCTTGTGCCCCGTGTGCCCCTTGGGGTGCCCCTTGTGCCCCGTGTGCCCCTTGGGGTCCTTGTGTGCCCCTTGTGCCCCGTGTGCCCCTTGGGGTGCCCCGTGTGCCCCTTGGGGTGCCCCTTGTGCCCCGTGTGCCCGTGTGCCCCCACCCCTGGCAGGGTGCCCCGCTGCCAGGCCCCCCCATGGCACTGTTACCCCTCCACCGTCACCCATGGGTGCTGGCGGGCCCGGGGGTCCCCGGGGCTCACAGCCTGCCCCCCCGTGCAGACCCTGCAGCGCTGGGGGGCCCGGGTGGGCAGCGGCCCCCGGCGGGCACAGCACGGCCCCGCCGCCGCCGCCGCCCCCGGGCCGTGCCCGGGCTGGACGGGGTTTGGGGGGGTTTGGGCAGGGTTGGGATTGGGGATTGGGCAGGGTTGGCATTGGGGGATCCCTGTTATTGGGGATTGGGGGATCCCTGGTTAGGGAATGGGGTTGGGCAGGGCTGGGATTGGGGGATCCCTCTATGGGGGGGATTGGGGGATCCCTGGTTAGGGAGGTTTGGGCAGGGATGGGGTTGAGCCTGGGGGATCCCTCCCTGGTTAGGGGGTTTTGGGGGATCCCTGTTTAGGGAATGGGATTGGGGAATCCCTGGTTAGGGAATGGGAATGGGGGATCCCTGGTTAGGGGGTTTGGGCACAGGGGTGATTGGGGGATCCCTGGTTAGGGAGGTTTGGGCAGGGATGGGGTCGAGCCTGGGGGATCCCTCCCTGGTTAGGGGGTTTTGGGGGATCCCTGTTTAGGGAATGGGATTGTGCAGGGGTGGGGTTGGGATTGGGGGATCCCTGTTTAAGGGGGTTTGGCCTCTCTGATTCCCACCCATGTCCTGGTCCCCACTGGGGGTGTCCTGGTGCCCCCATTCTCCCCCTGTGTACCCCTTCCCCCCTCTTCCATCATCCCTGAGGGTCTCAATTCCATCCTGCTCCTCCTCCTCACCCTGGCTGGGCACTGGGACCCCCATCCCAGTGTTTCTCCCACCCCCCTGGACTTTGTGTCCACCCCAAAGTGCCCAGGGCTGGCACAGCCCCTGCCACCAGCCTTGGCCCCTGCCCGGTGCCCACGGGGTGGGGTCAGCCCTGGGGGTTCTCTGCTTAGGGCATTTTGGCTGCTCTGATTCCCATCACCTTTTCCCCCCAGAATTTCTGCAGCCGGGCAGCTCTGGAGGCCCTGGGCTCCTGCCTCAACAACAAATACTCGGAGGGGTATCCTGGGAAGAGGTAAAGTGGGGAGTGGGCTTGGGGGGCACTGGGGTGCAGCTGCAGGGGACACCCAGGGAGCCCCAGGGAAGGGCTGGGGCTGTGTGAAGGTTGTCCTAGGACAGAGCTCAGGAATAAACAGGGATTGATCAGGAGATAAATTTGTCAGGATTGATCAACAGATCCACCTTGGGCAGTACGAGAGCCCAGCCAGGGCTACATCCCAGCCAAACCCGAAATAATCACAAAATGAACCCAAAATTAACCCAAAATGGTCACAAAATGAACCCAAAATGATCACAAAATGGACCCAAAATGGTCACAAAACGTACCCAAAATGATCACAAAATGGTCACAAAAGGAACCCAAAAATGATCACAAAATGAACTCAAAATGGTCACAAAATGAACCCGAAATGAATCCAAAATGGTCACAAAATGAATCCAAGATAAACTCAAAATGGTCACAAGTTGGACCTGAAATTGTCACAAAATGAACCCGAAATGAACCCAAAATGTCACAAAATGAATCCAAGATAAACTCAAAACGGTCACAAGTTGGACCTGAAATTGTCACAAAATGAACCCGAAATGAACCCAAAATGTCACAAAATGAATCCAAGATAAACTCAAAACGGTCACAAGTTGGACCTGAAATTGTCACAATGAGGTTTGGATCCTCTGTCCTTGGTCCCCAGCTGGAGCAGGAATTGTTTTGTCTCCTGCTCTGTGCAGAGAGCTCAGCATCCCAAAATGTGAAACCCAGACCCACAGTAAAGCAGAACAGAACCTGAAACGTAGAAAAATTAAAACCTGAGGTGTATAACATGAATCTCAGAACTACAGCCTAAACCAACACAGAATCTCAAAAATACAAAAATTAAAACCTGAGGTGTATAACATGAATCTCAGAGCTACAGCCTAAACCAGCACAGAATCTGAAAAATAGAAAAACTAAAACCTGAGACATCACACCAAGCCAGCACAGAATCTGAAACAAAAACTAAAACCTGAGGTGTATAACATGAATCTCAGAACTACAGCCTAAACCAGCACAGAATCTGAAAAATAGAAAAACTAAAACCTGAGACATCACACCAAGCCAGCACAGAATCTGAAACAAAAACTAAAACCTGAGGTGTATAACATGAATCTCAGAACTACAGCCTAAACCAGCACAGAATCTGAAACATATAAAAACTAAAACCTGAGGTATATAACATGAATTTCAGAATTAAAACCTAAACCAACACAGAACCTGAAACATATAAAAACTAAAAAAAACCTAAAACCTGAGGTGTGTAACATAAATCTCAGAACTACAACCTAAACCAGCACAGGATCTCAAAAATAGAAAAACTAAAACGTGAGACATCCCTCTAAAGCAGCAGAGAACCTGAAACATATAAAAATTAAAACCTGAGGTGTATAACATGAATCTCAGAACTACAACCTAAGCCAGCACAGAATCTGAAAAATAGAAAATCTCAAACCTGAGACATCACACAAAGCCAGCACAGAATCTCAAACATACCAAAACTAAAACCTGAGGTGTGTAACATGAATCTCAGAATTGCAGCCTAAACCAGCACAGAATCTCAAACATACAAAAGCTAAAACGTGAGGTATATAACATGAATCTCAGAATTATAACCTAAACCAGCACAGAATCTCAAACATACAAAAACTAAAACCTGAGGTGTATAACACGAATCTCAGAATTGCAACCTAAGCCAGCACAGAATCTCAAACATACAAAAACTAAAACGTGAGGTGTATAACACGAATCTCAGAGCTACAGCCTAAACCAGCACAGGATCTCAAACATACAAAAGCTAAAACGTGAGGTATATAACATGAATTTCAGAATTAAAACCTAAACCAGCACAGAATCTCAAAAATACAAAAACTAAAACGTGAGCCATCACTCTAAAGCAGCACGGACCCTGAAAACCACAGAAAGTCTGAACCTGAGGCACCCCTGGGGGCTGCCCTCGGCACCAAGCCTCCCTTGGGGCCAGGCTGGCAGTGGGGACCCCCTGGTGACCCCGTCTGTGGGGTTTGTGAGGCTCTCCAGGACAGGGAAGAGAGGAATGTGACTCCATGTTCTTAGAAGGATTATTATTATTAATAATATTATTATTAATATTAATAATAATGTTATATAATACTATATTATTATATAATATTATATTATCATATTATAGTATTATATTATATTATATTATATTATATTATATTATATTATATTATATTATATTATATTATATTATATTATATTATATTATATTATATTATATTATATTATATTATATTATATTATATTATATTATATTATATTATATTATATTATATTATATTATTATATTGTAGTATATTTATTATATGATTATATGATATTTATTNGGAGGTGGTGGTTTGGGGTAGGGGATGTGGGAAACTGGGGAGGGGGGATTTGGGGTGGGGGATGTGAGGATTTGGGGTGGGGACAGGACCCGGTGCCCCCCGGGGCTGTTAGCATTCAGAAACACAATCATAGAATAATTACCTGCGGGTGCTTTAATTGAAGTGTCAGGGGTACAGACCCAAATCTGACTCCGCCATGGCTTTGGGATGAACACGTTTTCATCCCTTATCCCTTAACCCTTATCCTTATAGAGCTACAGATTAATTAAGAAACTTGTATTCTATACATTGATTTCATCCAAGCATGGGTTTTTGTAATTTCCATCAAACCCCCCAGACATAATTCCTCATTATTTTTAAACAATAATTATATCCAATTGCCAAACAATCATGGCATTTAACAATAATATAATTTATCATTAAATGATTATACAGGTTGTATAATCATATCATTTATCAATCATACAGTTTATCATTAAATGATTACACAGTTTTGCATCATCCAGTAAAGGTTGATGTAAATACCATTTTCCCAGCCCAGCCTTTCTTTCCAGCCCCCCTGAATATCTGGAATATCCCATGATTTTAGGAACATTTTATCCCTATAATATCAAACCCCCCGAATACAGTTTCTGATGATTTTTGCTACAATTAAACAATAACTATATCCAATTACCAAACAACCATGGCATTTAATAATCACATCATTTAACAATGATATCATTTATCATTAAATGATTATACAGATTTGCATCATCCAGTAAATAACATTTTCCCAGCCCAGCCTTTCTTTCCAGCCCCCCTGAATATCTGGAATATCCCATGATTTTAGGAACATTTTATCCCTATAATATCAAACCCCAAATGTAGTTTCTCATAATTCTTGTTACAATTAATCAATAACTATATCCAATTACCAAACAATCATATCATTTATCATTAAATGATTATACAGATTTGCATCATCCAGTAAATAACATTTTCCCAGCCCAGCCTTTCTTTCAAACCCCCAGAATATCCCATGATTTTAGAAACATTTTATCCCTATAATATCAAACCCCCCCAAATACAGTTTCTGATGATTTTTGCTACAATTAAACAATAACTATATCCAATTACCAAACAACCATGGCATTTAATAATCATCAATAATAAATATCATGTAACAATTATATAATTTATCATTAAATGAATATACAGTTTTGCATCATCCAGTAAATAACATTTTCCCAGGCCCAGCCTTTCTTTCCAACTCCCCTGAATATCTGGAATATCCCATGATTTTAGGAACATTTTATCCCTATATTATCAAACCCCCCAAACATAGTTTCTCATGATTCTTGTTACAATTAAACAATAACTATATCCAATTACCAAACAACCATGGCATTTAACAATAATATCATTTAACAATCTTATAATTTATCATTAAATGATTATACAGTTTTGCATCATCCAGTAAATGATGATGTAAATACCATTTTCCCGGCCCAGCCTTTCTTTCCAGCCCCCGGGAATGTCGGGAATATCGGGAATATCGGGAATGTCGGGAATGTCGGGAATGTCAGGAATGTCGGGAATATCGGGAGTGTCAGGAATATCGGGAATGTCGGGAATGTCGGGAATGAGGGTTTGTCCTCACCCTGTGCCTCCCCCGCAGCCTCACCCACGGTTACATGAGTGACACCAAGAGGATCTCGGCCACCTCCATCTTCTTCGAGTCCATGCCCTACAAGCTTGATGTGAGCTGGGGGAAGGGAGGCTCCGAGGTGTCCCCAGAGTGTCCCCAAAGTGTCCCCAGGGTGTCCTCACAGTGTCCCTGAGGTGTCCCCAGTGTGTCCCTGGAGTGTCCCCAAAGTGTCCCTAGGGTATCCCCGAGGTGTCTTCGAGGTGTCCCCAGGGTGCCCTCAGGGTGTCCCCAAGGTGTCCCCAAAGTGTCTCCAGGGTATCCCTGAGGTGTCCCCAGGGTGTCCTCACGGTGTCCCTGAGGTATCCCCAGGGTGTCCCCAAGGTGTCCTTAGGGTGTCCCCAGCATGTCCCCAGGGTGTCCCCAAGGTATCCCCAGGGTGTCCTCACAGTGTCCCCGGGGTGTCCCTGAGGTATCCCCAGTGTGTCCCTGGAGTGTCCCCAAAGTGTCCCCAGGGTGTCCCTGAGGTGTCCCCAGGGTGTCCTCACGGTGTCCCTGAGGTGTCCCAAAGTGTCCCCAGGGTGCCCTCAGGGTGTCCCCAAGGTGTCCCCGAGGTGTCCCTGAGCTGTCCCCAGGGTGTCCCCTCCGTGTCCCAGTGCCAAGGGAGGTGCCCAGGGCTCAGGTGCTGTGCTCGGAGCAGAGGGGTTCCTCCACTGTCCATCTGTCTGTCTGTCCATCTGTCCATTCCCAGCATGACCAGGCTGGCTGTCCATTTCTGGGCTAACTGGCCCAGCTCTCCTGTCTGTCTGTCTGTCCTTCACAGCCATCCTTGGGGCTGACTGACATGTCTGTCTGTCTGTCCCTGGACTGACTAATCTGTCTGTTTATCCGTGGGCTGACTGACCTGTCTGCCTGCCCCTGGACTGACCAATGTGTCTGTTTGTCTGTCCTTGGACTGACTGGCCTGTCTGTCTGTCCTTGGACTGACTGGCCTGTCTGTCCCTGGCCTGACTCATTTGTCAGTCTGTCTGTCTGTCCATCCCTGGGCTGACCAATCTGTCTGTCCATCCCTGTGCTGACTGACCTGCCTGTCCGTCCATCCATCCATCCATCCATCCATCCATCCATCCATCCATTGACTGACCTGCCTGTCTGTCTGTCTATCCATGGACTGACTGACTGACCTACCTGTCCATCCCTGGGCTGACTGACTTGTCTCTCTGTCTGTCCGTCCATCCCTGACCCCAGTGCTGACTGACCTGTCCGTCCATCCATCCATCCATCCATCCAACCATCCATCCATCCATCCATCCATCCATCCATCCATCCCTGTACTGACTGACCTGTCTGTCTGTCTGTCTGTCCCTGTGCTGACTGACCTGTCTGTCCATCCCTGCGCTGCCTGACCTGCCTGTCCGTCTGTCTGTCTGTCCGTCCATTCCTGCGCTGCCTGACCCGCCAGTCCGTCCATCTGTCCGTCCGTCTGTCTGTCCATCCCTGCGCTGCCTGACCTGCCTGTCCATCCGTCCGTCCGTCTGTCTGTCCATCCATCGCCACGCTGCCTCACCTGACTGTCCGTCTGTCTGTCCATCCCTGCGCTGCCTGACCTGCCTGTCCATCCGTCCGTCCGTCTGTCTGTCCATCCATCTCCACGCTGCCTCACCTGACTGTCCGTCCGTCTGACTGTCCATCCGTCCCCACGCTGCCTGACCCACCTGCCTGTCCGTCTGTCTGTCCATCCCCGCGCTGCCCGACCCACCTGTCCGTCCGTCCGTCTGTCTGTCCGTCCGTGTCTGTCCGTCCATCCCCGCACTGACTGACCCGCCTGTCTGTCCATCCGTCTGTCTGTCCGTCTGTCTGTCCATCCCCACACTGCCTGACCCACCTGTCTGTCCGTCCGTTTCTCCGTCTGTCTGTCCGTCCGTCCATCCCCGCACTGCCTGACCCGCCTGTCTGTCCGTCCATTTCTCTGTCTGTCTGTCCGTCCGTCCATCCCCGCACTGACTGACCTGCCTGTCTGTCCATCCGTCTGTCTGTCCATCCCCACACTGCCTGACCCACCTGTCTGTCCGTCCGTTTCTCCGTCTGTCTGTCCGTCCGTCCATCCCCGCACTGCCTGACCCGCCTGTCTGTCCGTCCATTTCTCTGTCTGTCTGTCCGTCCGTCCATCCCCGCACTGACTGACCTGCCTGTCTGTCCATCCGTCTGTCTGTCCATCCCCACACTGCCTGACCCACCTGTCTGTCCGTCCGTTTCTCCGTCTGTCTGTCCGGTCTGTCCGCCTGTCCGCCCCCCCCCGCGCTCCCTGCCCCGCCTGTCCGTCCGTCCGTCTGTCTGTGCGTCCGTCTGGCTGTGCGTCCGTCCATCCCCGTGCTGCCTGACCCGCCTGTCCGTCCGTCCGTGTCTGTCCGTCCATCCCCGCACTGACTGACCCGCCTGTCTGTCCATCCGTCTGTCTGTCCATCCGTCTGTCTGTCCATCCCCACACTGCCTGACCCACCTGTCTGTCCGTCCGTTTCTCCGTCTGTCCGTCCGTCCGTCCATCCCCGCGCTGCCTGACCCGCCCGTCCGTCCGTCCGTCCGTCTGTCCCCGCAGCCCGCCACAGGCCTGATTGACTACGCGCAGCTGGAGGTGACGGCGCGGCTGTTCCGCCCGCGCCTGGTGATCGCGGGCACCAGCGCCTACGCGCGCCTCATCGACTACGGCCGCATCAGGAGGGTGCGCCACGGGCCGGGCCGGGCCGGGACGGGACGGGAGGGGAGGGATGGAGCCGCGGAGCCGCGGGCCACAGGGCGGAGTTGGTGTTTAGGATATGGTGTACGGGCCGGGCTGGGCCAGGACGGGAGGGATGGAGCCGCGGGCCACAGGGCGGAGTTGGTGTTTAGGATATGGTGTGGTATGGTATGATTGATGTGATTGATATGATGTGATATGATATGATATGGTATGGTATGTGTGGTCAAACCATGACAATATGATATGATATGATATGATATGATATGATATGATATGATATGATATGATATGATATGATATGATATGATATGATATGATATGTGGTATGATTGATGTGATATGATATGATGTGATATGATATGATATGGTATGTGTGGTCAAACCATGACAATATGATATGATATAGTATGGTATGGTATTGTGTGGTATTATATGGTATTATATGATATTACATTGTATTATATATTATGTTATATAATATCAATCATATATTATTATATTATATTATATTATATTATATTATATTATATTATATTATATTATATAAGAAGAAGACGAAGAAGACGAAGAAGAAGTAGTATTGTTATTATAACTATAATTATGTTATACAATATGTTATATATAATATATATACTATATATATTATATATTATATATTATATATTATATATTGTATATAAGTAATGTAATATTAATATTATAAATAATACAATGTATAAGAATAAATATATATACTTATATATAATATATAATATTATAGCATTATAATATAATTATATAACTATACATGATATATATGATATATATTATATTATTCTAGTATATTACATTACATTATAATGCTATACTAAAAGAAATAGAGAAATGATAGAGCCAGAAAGCTGGAAAGGAAAGGAGTGGAATGACAACAAAAGCTCCTGACTGAGCTTGGAGCCAGCTGGACCCAGGTTGGCCATTGAGCAGAAACCTCACGTGGACCAGCCAAAGGTGCCCTGCTGGTGCACAATCTCCAGACCACATTCCACACCCGGTATTGCTTTCCTTTTCCTCTGAGGCTTCTCAGGGGAAAAAAATCCCAGCAAAGGATTTCCATAAAAATATCATGGTAATGAGGGGGCTCGTGGGGCTGAGGAGGGGCTCTGGGGACAGCAGGTGACCCTGCTGCTGTCCCCAGGTGTGCGATGAGGTCAAGGCCTACCTGCTGGCCGACATGGCCCACATCAGCGGGCTGGTGGCCGCCAAGGCCATCCCGTCGCCCTTCGAGCACGCCGACGTCGTCACCAGCACCACGCACAAGACCCTGCGTGGCGCCAGGTGAGAGCCCTGGCACCGCGGGCAGGGGGGTGGTGTCCCCCCGGGAGGACAGGTGACAGCCTCTCTTGCCACCAGGTCGGGGCTGATCTTCTACCGCAAGGGCGTGCGCTCCGTGGATAAGAAGACGGGCAAGGAGACCCTCTACGACCTGGAGGACAGGATCAACTTCTCGGTGTTCCCCTCCCTGCAGGGGGGACCCCACAACCACGCCATTGCTGCCGTGGCCGTGGCCCTCAAGCAGGTGTGCTGGGGTGGGGGGCTCGGGGCGGGGGGTGCCCCGTGCCCCCGGTGCTGATGGGGTGTCCCCCCTGGCAGGCCAGCTCCCCAGCCTTCCGGGAGTACTGCCAGCAGGTGCTGAGGAACGCCAAGGCCATGGCACAGGCGCTGCTGCAGCGGGGCTACACCCTCGTGTCAGGTAAGGTTCCAGTCCTGCTGCTTTGGGGTCAAGGGTGGGTTTTGGAGCCGTGGTGGGGACCAGGTATATCCTGGTGTCAGGTGATGCTCCAGTCCTGCTGTTTTGGGGACCAGGTACACCCTGGTGTCAGGTGAGGCTCTGGCCCTGCTGGTTTTGGGGACAAGGAAAGGTGAAGTGTGGTGGGGATGAGGTACACGCTGGTGTCAGGTAATGCTCTGGCCCCACAGTTTTAGGGACCAGGTACACGCTGGTGTCAGGTCATGCTCTGGCCCTGCTGGTTTTGGGGTCAAGGATGGGTTTTGGAGCCGTGGTGGGGACAAGGTACACCCTTGGTGTCAGGTCATGCTCTGGCCCTGCTGTTTTGGGGTCAAGGAGGCGGGGATCAGGTACATGCTGGTGTCAGGTGATGCTCTGACCCCACAGTTTTGGGAACAAGGAGGGGTGAGCTCTCATGGGGACGAGCGGCTCTGCTCAGTCTCAGGACAGCAGTGGGGTGTGCAGGGGGATTGGGGGGCACCGAGTGGGGCTGAGGCAGAACAGGCAGCACTGCAGAGCAGCAAAGGCGCAGCAGAGGGGTCTGGGGGTGCTCAGGGACCCTCACCCCTCTCCTCTGCTCCCCAGGTGGCACTGACAACCACCTGGTGCTGGTGGACCTGCGGCCCAAGGGCATCGACGGGGCGCGGGCAGAGCGGGTGCTGGAGCTCGTCTCCATCACGGCCAACAAGAACACGTGCCCGGGGGACAAGAGTGCCCTGACCCCCGGGGGGCTGCGCCTCGGTGAGGGACAGCCCCTGCCCGGCCTCCTCACCCCACAGCGGCCCCACTCTGATTCACCCTTCTCTGTTTTAGTGGGAATTTGGAGATGGGAAAAGGGGCAGGAGCCTGTGGGGAGCAGAATTTGGGGAGCCCCTTGGGGAGGTGCAGTGAGGGGTTTGGACCCAGGGAGCTTCTTGGGGGTCTGGGAATGAGGGAGTTCTTTGGGGGGCTGGGACTGAGGGACCACCTTGAGGGGCTGGGACCCTGAGAGCCCCTTGAGGGTCTGGGAATGAGGGAGCCCCTTGGGAGTCTGGGACCCAGGGAGCTTCTTGGGGGCCTGGGACTGAGGGAACCCCAGTGAGGGGCTGGGACTGAGGGACCACCTTGAGGGGCTGGGACCCTGTGAGCCCCTTGGGGCGCTGGGACTGAGGGAGCTCCTTGGAGGGCTGGGAATGAGGGAATTCTTTGGGGGTCTGGGAATGAGGGAACCCCAGTGAGGGGCCGGGACTCAGCTCCTTTGGGGGGCTGGAACCCTGTGAGCTTCTTGGGGGTCTGGGAATGAGTGACCTCCAGTGAGGGGCTGGGACTGAGGGACCACCTTGAGGGGCTGAGACCTGGAGAGCCTCTTGGGTGGTTGGGACTGAGGGAGCTCCTTTTGGGGCTGGGAATGAGGGAGCTCCTTGGGGACCTGGGACCCTGAGAGCCCCTTGGATGGCTGGGACCCAGGGAGCCCCTTGGGGTCCAGGTGCCCCCCAGCACTGCTGTCCCTGATGGGCTCTGTCCCCAGGTGCCCCCGCGCTGACCTCCCGCCAATTCCGCGAGGAGGATTTCCACAAGGTCGTGGAGTTCCTCGACGAGGGCATCGCCCTGGCCTTGGATGTCAAGAGCAAAACCAGTGAGCCGTGGGGGGGGCCCTGTACCCCCATTTCCCCCTTCCTGAGTGCCCCTCAGCCCTTCTCCCCTTGTGCTGCCAGCCCTGCTGCCCAGACCGGGTGGCAAAACCAGTGAGCCACGGGGGTCCCTGTCCCCCATTTCCCCCTTCCTGGCTGCCCCTCAGCCCCTGTTGTGGGTACCTGGCGAGGGCTGGAGCTGCCCTGGGGCTCACCTGTGCCCCTCCACCCCCAGGTAAGCTCCAGGACTTCAAGACCTTCCTGCTGCAGGACCCGGAGACGCAGCGGCGCCTGAGCGACCTGCGGCAGCGCGTGGAGACCTTCGCCCGTGCCTTCCCCATGCCCGGCTTCAGCGACCACTGAGGGGGGCACGCCCCTGCTGCCAGGCTGGGCTCGCTCCTGGGGGGTCACAGAGGGGCTCAGGCCCCCCCTCTGCCTTCCCCCCCATGGAGTGTGCCCTCCCCATGCCCGGCTTCAGTGACCACTGAGGGGGGGGCACGCCCCTGCTGCCAGGCTGGGCTCGCTCTGGGGGGGTTTGCTGCTTCCCCTAGACTGGGTAACCCTAAAGGATCCAGTTTGCCCCCCCTCCAGGTCCTGGGATTCCATAAAGGATCCGGTGCTGTCCCCTCACAGGCTCTGGAAAACCCTAAAGGATCCAGTTTGTTGCCACCTCCCAGGTTCTGGGATTCCATAAAGAATCCAGTGCTGTCCCCTTCCCCAGACTGGAAAACCCTAAAGGATCCAGTTTGCTGCCCCCAGGCTCTGGGAAACCCCTAAAAGATCCAGTTTGCTGCTCCCAGGCTCCGGGATTCCATCAAGGATCCAGTTTGCTGCTCCCCCCAGACTAGGGAAAACCCTAAAGGATCCAGTTTACTGTGCCCAGGTTTTGGGAAACCCTAAGAGATCCAGTTTGCCCCCCTCCAGGTTCTGGGAGTCCATAAAAGATCCAGTTTGCTCCCACTCCAGTCTCTGGAACACCCTAAAGGATCCAGTTTGCTGCCCCCAGGCTCTGGGAAACCCTAAAGGATTCCGCTTGCTGCCCAGCCACCCTTCCCAGGTTCTGGGAAACCCCAAAGGATCCAGTTTGCTGTCCCCAGATTTTGGGAAACCCCAAAGGATCCAGTTTGCTGCCTCCTCCCAGGTTCTGGAATCCCATCAAGGCCCCAGTTTGCTCCCCCCCCACACACCCCATAATTTATTCCAGTGCTGAGTTTCACGCAGGCACGAGGTGGGGGTGAGGGGGCACCCCCAGGGATGTGCTTTATTGGGGGGTGGGACACGGCCACGCGGTTTGGGGGAGCTGGGGGGGCAGTGGGGGGCACCCCCTTCACCCTGGCACGTCCCAGAGGTGGCTCAGAAGCTGGGCCGCTCCTTTTTGAGGTTCTTGTAGTCGGTGGAAACTGCCAGAAACTGGAGAAGGGAGGGAGGGGGGTCAGGGGGGGTCGTGGCCCCTTCCCCAAATTCAAGCACAAACATTCGGGGGGTTCTGCTCCACAACTGATCCCTCTGTCACCTGAGTATTTTGCCCTAAAAGTGGCTGCCCGCCCCCCCAAACACTGCCAGCCCCCTGGGAAACCCTAAAGGATCCAGTTTGCTGCCCCTGGGCTCTGGGAAACCCTAAAAGATCCAGTTTGCTGCCCCCCACCCCTCCCCAGGCTCTGGAAAACCCTAAAAGATCCAGTTTGCCCCCGCTCCAGGCTCTGGGAAACCCTAAAGGATTCCGTTTGCTGCCCACCCACCCTTCCCAGGTTCTGGGAAACACCAAAGGATCCAGTTTGCTGTCCCCAGATTTTGGGAAACCCCAAAGGATCCAGTTTGCTGCCTCCTCCCAGGTTCTGGAATCCCATCAAGGCCCCAGTTTGCTCCCCCCCCACACACCCCATAATTTATTCCAGTGCTGAGTTTCACGCAGGCACGAGGTGGGGGTGAGGGGGCACCCCCAGGGATGTGCTTTATTGGGGGGTGGGACACGGCCACGCGGTTTGGGGGAGCTGGGGGGGCAGTGGGGGGCACCCCCTTCACCCTGGCACGTCCCAGAGGTGGCTCAGAAGCTGGGCCGCTCCTTTTTGAGGTTCTTGTAGTCGGTGGAAACTGCCAGAAACTGGAGAAGGGAGGGAGGGGGGTCAGGGGGGAGTCGTGGCCCCTTCCCCAAATTCGAGCACAAACATTCGGGGGGGTTCTGCTCCACAACTGATCCCTCTGTCACCTGAGTGTTTTGCCCTAAAAGTGGCTGCCTGCCCCCCAAACACTGCCAGCCCCCCCGGGAAACCCTAAAGGATCCAGTTTGCTGCCCCTGGGCTCTGGGAAACCCCAAAGAATCCAGTTTGCTGCCCCCTCCCAGGTTCTGGAATTCCATAAAGGATCCAGTTTGCTGTCCCCCCAAGTGTCACTGCAGCCTGGCCTTGGTGGCACATGGTGCCCCTTCCCCAAATTCGAGCATTTGGGGGGTTCTGCTCTCCCCCTTTCCCCTTCCTGAGTGTTTTGCCCTAAAAGCAGCTGCCTCCCCCTCCCCAAACACTCCCAGTTCACCCAGTGCTCACTTTGTACTGGTCTGTGGGGCTCAGCTTGTTCCAGGGCTCAGGATTATTCTTCCGGTCCCAGCTGTGAGGGGTGACAGGGACATCAATGGGGGAGAGACCCCCCTCCCACACCCCACTGGAGCCCCCCAAAGCGCCCCCAGCCCCACCAGCACCGCCCCCAGTTGTCCTTGAAGCCTTTCCAAGCTGGACACAGCCCGTCCTGGCCCGGGAGGCAGCAGGGCCATGGGATGGGGTCCCTGGGGACAGCAGCTCGTGGTGTCCCCCCTTCTTTCCCCCCTCGTTCACTGGTGCTGGCCAGGAGCAGAATTTTCCATCTGGGAAGATGTTTGTGTGTGGATGGGGGAGGGAGGGGGGGCTGTGCTGCAAACACAACCCCCCTGGAGCTGTTTATGGGTCTGGGGGATGGGATGGGGGGTGTTGTTCCCTCCCAACCCCCCCCTTCTCTGCCACCCTCCAGGCTGAGGCGTCTGGGGGTGATAATTGTGGGGCTGAGCTCGTCTGGTGCCTGATGAAACCCAGGAGTGGTTTTAGGGGGAGGAAACCATGAAAAATGAGGTTGGAGGATGTGGGAAAAGCAGTCTGGTCACCCCAGGATGTGCTCACCAACCATCCTTTGAGATCCCACAGCCCTGATTCCATCTGTCCATCCATCCATCCTCCCCACAGGTGCCCCCAAGGCGTACCTGACATCTGGGCTGTGCAGTGCCCAGCTCTCCTGGGCACCTCTGAACCCACATTTCCCCCCATCATTCACCATCAATCTGGGTGGTGGGCATGCCAGCACCTGGTGCCAGGTCTGGGCTGAGCCCCCCCTGCTCTGGGGGTGTGGGGTGACCCCCCAGGGGTGCCCCACAGGTGCCCCCAAGGCGTACCTGACATCTGGGCTGTACAGTGCCAGCTCTCCTGGGCACATCTGGACCCACATTCCCCCATCATTCACCATCAATCTGGGTGGTGGGCATGCCAGCACCTGGTGCCACCCCTGGGCTGAGCCCCCCGTGCTCTGGGGGTGTGGGGTGACCCCCAGGGGTGCCCCAGGGGTGCCCCACAGGTGCCCCCAAGGCGTACCTGACATCTGGGCTGTACAGTGCCCAGCTCTCCTGGGCACCTCTGGACCCACATTTCCCCCATCATTCATCATCAAGCTGTGTCTGGGCGTGCCAGCGCCTGGTACCACTCCAAGGCTGAGCCCCCCGTGCTCTGGGGGTGTGGGGTGACCCCCAGGGGTGACCCCCAGGGGTGCCCCCAAGGCATACCTGACATCTGGGCTGTACAGTGCCAACCGCAGCAGGTACAGGACTGCACTGCCCAGGCCCACACTGATGAAGCCAATGAGAGGAACGAGCTGCAGAGAGAGAGAGAGGAGAGAGAGGGAGAGTGAGAAAAATGAAAAATACCCCAATAAAATGAATATTTATCAGGCGGACTGGAGAGTGAAAGGGAGAGCTGACACGCCGGGAGATTTACAGGGGGAATATGGCAGAGCAATCCTGTAGCTGGGCTGTGGTACACAGTGTAGCTGTCAGCTTGAGTGACTGAATTAAAAGAGGGAGAGAAAAATCGGCTCGTGCTGGAGAGGAATTGGATTTGGAATGAGAAATCGCCTCCCCTCCGCCTGTGGCTGCCCAGCGCTGGCTCTGCTGAGGAGCTGGGGAGCCCATTCCCGGTGCTCCCAGTGCTCCCAGTGACTCTGCTCGGGGCTGAGCCTCAATTTATGGCTCGTCCCTCAAGGATTTGGGTCTGGGCACCCCATTCCCAGTGCTCCCAGTGCCCCTGGTCAGAGCAAATCTGGGTTTATGGCTTTTCCCTGAAGGATTTGGTGCTGAACACCCCATTCCCAGTGCTCCCAGTGCCCCCGGTCAGAGCAAATCTCAATTCATGGTTCTTTCCTGAAAGATTTGGTGCTGAACACCCCATTCCCACCATTCCCAGTGCTCCCAGTGACCCTGCTCGGGGCTGAGCCTCGGTTTGTGGCTCCTCACGGAAGGATTTGGACCCGGGGACCCCATTCCCAGTGCTCCCAGTGCCCCTGCTCAGAGCAAACCTGGGTTTATGGCTCTTCCCTGAAGGATTTTGTATTCACCACCCCATTTCCATCATTCCCAGTGCTCCCAGTGCTCCTGGTCAGAACAAACCTCGGTTTATGCTCCTTCCCTGAAGGATTTGGAGATTAACACCCATTCCCAGTGCTCCCAGTGACTCCAGTCAGGGCTGCGCCTCCATTTATGGCTCGTCCGTAAAGGATCTGGATCTGGGCACCCCATTCCCAGTGCTCCCAGTGACTCTGCTCGGGGCTGAGCCTCATTTTATGGCTCCTCCCTGAAGGATTTGGGTCTGGGCACCTCATTCCCAGTGTCCCTGGTCAGAGCAAACCTCGGTTTATGCTTCTTCCCTGAAGGATTTGGAGATTAACACCCCATTTCCAGTGCTCCCAGTGCTCCCAGTGACTCCACTCAGGGCTGAGCCTTGGCTCATGGTTCCCCCTGAGATACTCAGCCCTGGGCACGGCCTGTCCCCGAGCTGTGACCCCGGACAGGGTCCCTGTCCCCCCACAGCCCCCCCTGCTCTGCTCCCCTCCGCACCATCCCTGATGGAGCACGAGACAAGGAGCTCCTGTTCCTTTTACTGGGATGGACTGGGACACGCTGGGAGTCCAAAGCGGCTCCTGGGGGGCACTCAGCGACCCCAACTCCCCCCACTCATCCTGCCAGCGTGTCCCCTCACCCCCCTCTCCGTGCCCACGGCGGCTCCCAGCGCACCTCGGCTCCATCTCCTCATCTCCGCTCGCTCCGCCAATCCCCCAGTGCCCGGAGCGACGCGGCCTCAATCGGAGCCGAGCCGAGGAGGCTTTGACCTCCCCCAAATTACCGCGGCGAGCGAAATGAGAGCGGCGCCAGCCCCGTG